GAGCACAGTTGACTCCATATGATCATTCTCTGTAAAGCATGCTTCTCCTAGACGAAAACTGTGCATCGTATCTAACGCGACATGTTTGTACTGGTTGTCGTAAGTACAGGTTCTGTCAGAAGGCCATGTTCCGGTTCTGCGTCATGGTCACCACCTCGGGTGCTTACGTTCATTCTAGCGATCATCTGGAGTTCTCCTCGAGTGTCTCATCTTTGCTTCGCGAAACCTGCGGGGACGAATGTGCTAATGCGTGGGGAGAACGTGTTGTTCCTAAACTCAACGAGTTCGTCGAACGGCAAGGAGACAACTGGGTATGGTATGTGATTGGTTGCACGGCACTAAACAATATCAGCTCACCAAGAAAATGTTTCCGCCTGTAGTCTGGTATCCCATTGCATCTCACTGAACTAATCGCAAAAGAGGTGGAGGAGCTCCGACAGGATAAATCTGACATACTGCGAGCTTTGGAAGCTCCACATTATGACACGTCATCTCGTGCAGCTCTCATAGAGCCCAGCTCAGTCAACATTGGTAAGGATTGACTTAAAGACTTTGAGAGAAAATGGGTTGTAAATAGAACACAAGAATCGATGTACCAAAATCAGGGTGTGATGTGAGTGGAAATTCAGCACGATATTCTGTGTTTGGAAATTTCAAGGTGGAAATTTCCGGAATTTCCAGGAAATTTCCGCCAAGATGCTTCCGGGCTTCTGCGCTAGCGCGCAGTCGGGATCGAGGAAGTACAAAAGAGCAAGATCACGAGTTGGAGAGTCGTTTCGTGGGTCCATGCGTTACATTGTCGATTGCGTGTCGCGTTCAGTTCGGGAGCCAATGATGACTCAAAAGGGATGTAGGTGCGTCAATCACGGTCACGACTGACGATCCGTCGAAGCAGCTTTGTGAGAGACATGTTTTCGCCCTCGAAAGACCTCGTTTATGGGGGGTCGAATTCTGTTCAGTATCTCGAAGAAGTCTGGTTCATCCATGTCTTTGAAGGCACCAAGCTACGAGATGCATTCAAATGGCCACTCAACTGAAGTGCTTCTCGTTCCACCTGAAGACCCATTTCCACAAATCCGAGGAGAAGTGAAGTCTCGGCGTGGAATTTGATGTCGTCAACGAGCCGATTCTTCCCTACTTAGATTGAGCGACTCGAAGCCAGCCGTCGCGAATTTGAGGCAAATGAATTGTCCTCGTTGAAGCAAAACACATCTCTTGTTGAGAACTCCTCATACCAGCCGTTTACTGTGAGGCTATTGCCACCCACAACTACTGACATCGGAAGGATCAAACAGAGAATTGACGAGTTAGAGGCACGACGAGCAAAACGCGAGGCCGAAATGTTTCAAGAAATACGTAGATCTCTTGAAGCGACAAAGCCTGAAAAATGTAAGATCTATACTATTCGTGTCTTCCAATTCGTGCATGGTTTCTATAGCATTTTCATACAACAGCAAGCCTATTTCAATAAGAATCGGCAGTGTTGGTCCCTTTCCTCGTGTTGTCGACCTTGTAGCCGAGATGGAGCGCCGCCGAGACGAGAAAGAGTCGTCATACGTCAAAAGTTTCTTGGTCGAGGTGCGTATCCCTCAAACCAACCGCTCGTGGGAGAAACAATATCTTTATCACTCTCACCCTTCAGATACGACTGCGTTGACCGAACTGGGGGAGAAGCGGAAATCGTATCA